CTGATAAAGCATATGCAACCATGACATCGTTATATCTAGCTGGCCGACGAATGTTTCTTCTTGGTCTATAAATCATCAACGACTTCTGTTGATAAATCATCAACTAGAAGCTTTCGAAGAAAAAGGAATAGAGAACTTGGTTTGTAGATTGAACAAATCTTTGTACGCTCTAAAGCAGGTGCCGAGGTGTTAGTAGAAGAGATTTGATTCATTCATCATAAGCTTTGGATACAACAGACTTAATTCATACCCTTGTGCATATTTCAAGAGGTTTGATGAAAGTAACTTTGTTATCTTATTGTTGTATGTTGACGACATGTTAGTTTTAGGCCCCAATAAAGATCGTATCAAAGAATTAAATGCACAATTGGCTAGGAAATTTGAAATGAAGGACTTAGGATCTGCAAACAAGATTCTAGGGATGCAAATTTACTGAGACAGAATTAATAGAAAGATCTGGCTTTCTCAAAATAATTATTTGAAGAAAATCTTATGACGCTTTAACATGCAATATTGTAAGTCAATTTCTATCCTACTTCCTGTTGATTTCAAGTTATCCTTCACTATGAGTTCTAGCAGTGAAGAAGGGAGGATAGAGATGTCTTCAGTACCGTATGCATCAGCAGTAGGAAGTTTAGTGTTCGCTATGATTTGTACAAGACCAGGCATTGTACAAGCAGTGAGAGTTGTTAGTCGATGCATGGCGAATCGTGATAAAGAACATAGGAATGCTATAAATAGGGTCCTAAGATACATTAAGGGAACCTTAAATATTACATTATGTTATAGGGGATCAGATTTTATTGTCAATGGATATATCGATTCTAATTATGCAGGTGATCATGATAATAGAAAATCCACAAAAAGCTATGTGTTTGCACTTGCTGGCGGAGCTGTAAGCTGGATTTCAAAACTGTAGTCAGTTGTGGCTACTTCAACAACAAAAGCAGAATATGTAGCAGCTACACAAGCTAGTAAAGAGGCGATATAGTTGAAGATGGTGCTGAGGAAACTCGGGCATGAACAAAAGAAGGTTTCTCTCTTTTGTGATAGTCAGAGTGCTTTGTATTTAGCAAAAAAATCTAGCTTTTCATTCAAAGACAAAACACATTCGAGTTCAGTGTCGTTCGTGAGAAAGTGGAAGAAGAAATAGTGGATATACAGAAAATTCACACCAAAGACAACCTAACAGGCTTTTTTACAAAAGAAGTCAACATTGATAAATTTATTTGGTGTCGATCCTCTTGTGGTCTGTCGGAGACATGAGCAACATGAAGATGACAAGATAGAAATAATAATGTGAATATATGATTGATACTCGATCAAATCTTCAAGTGGGAGATTATCAGTGGCAAATTGTTCACAGCAGCAATTGTGGACAAACAAAAAGGTGGCGGGTCCCACAAAAATAAATGCACCCAAAGTTAAAAAGCAGGCACCGAAAGTTTGGCACAGTAAAAGAAAAAATATTATAAAATTAAAAATAGTGTTTTTCTCAGCCGCTATAAATAGACCTAAAACTCTTCAGGAAAAATCCATCCTAGAAACAACTCCGCATATAGAAGAGAGAGAGAGAGAGAAAAATAGAGAGAGTTTCTCCTTGTAAAAAAAGATTGTAACTCTAAAAATTTTCCTCATAGTGGATTCTTCTATCATTGCCTGTGGTTTTACCCCAAATTTATTTAGGGGATTTTTCATGTAATATTTGTGTTTTTTTATTATTTCTACTCTACTATTCGCTGAGACCTTGCTCTATTGGGTCCCGGGTTTTTCCCAACAACTGTATTATAGGAATGGGGTGATTCATAGGGATCTAAAGTCGGGGAACTTTTTGTTTGTGAATAAAAAGGAGAGTTCACCGCTGAAGGCTATTGACTTTGGGTTGTCGATTTTCTTCAAGCCTGGTGAGTTTGTATTTTTTGCTTAATTATTGATCATTTGCTAAATTTTGTGGCTGAATCTAGTATTGCAAGTCTCGTGTAGGTTCTATTTTAGCTGTTTTACCAAAATCTGTAAAGAAATGGTAATAATTTGAGGAGAACCTTAGCTAAGAGAGCTAGTTTTAGAGTCTATAGCGCCAGTGAGATTGTGAGAAGGATACGATGCCATTTTTAGCAATATGGTTTTGTTTCTTTACTTATTAGTTGGGGATTTTTTATGTAGGTAATGTGCTAAAATCTACGGTTGAACATAATTCAGAAAGTTTCATTAAGTTTCTGTTTTTGACCATTTTATCTAAACTAGTATAATTCACGTGCTTTGCATGTGGACATTATTTGTATTTAATATTATATATTTAATAAATTATATATAAACATTTTACAAAGTTATTTTATTACACTATGATTGAAAATTTTAAGTTATACTATTTTTAGTACTTAAACTATTATTAACATACATTTAATAGTTATTTAAATTTGCTTATTATTATGTTATTAAAAAGTTTAATTAAGAGTATAATTATTAACTAATAATGTAATCATTAGTTTAAGTAACACTTTTGAAATAATTAAATTATTTATATTATTAAATATTTCTATTATGTACATATTTTATTACAGTATCTATTAAATAATGGCAATAATTTTTAATATTATATGACTTTATATTGTAAACAATATTACCTTGTTCAATAATTAATATCATCTTAGTAATAAAAAATTGGGTGGTATAAATTAAAAATATTATTATTTAGGGAAAATATACTTTATATAAATATATTGGACCTTTGAAATTTATGAAACATTTACTTTCCAACAAAAAGTGCATGTCTTATTAATTTTAAGGATCCAATATTTTTATATAAAGTAATTTTCCTAAATAAAAGTATTTTTAATTCATAAAATCCAATTTTTTTACTAATCTGATATTATAATGTCAGAAAGGGTAATATTCCTTACAACATAAAGAATCAATCCCTATTTATACTATTATTAATAATTATAATTATGTACAATAATTTATTAAATAAATAATTTTACTATTTTATTACAATTAATAATTCTTTATATATATGTCTCATAAACTTCAAGGATCCAAACATTTTTATATAAATTAATTTTCCAAAATAAAAATATTTTTGATTTATAAAGTCTAAATTTTTATTACTAAGACGATATTAATTATCGAACAAGGTAATATTCTTTACAACATAAAGAAATAATCCCTATTTATACTATAATTCGTAATTATAATTGTGCACAATAATATATTAAATAATTATTTTTTAATATTTTATTACAATTAATAATTCTTTATAATGAATTATCATATATTTATGAATAATATATTAAATAAATAATTTTCACTATTTTATATAATTAATAATTGTTTATAATAAATTATTATATATTTATGAATTTTGTTATCATTATAAATTATTAATGCATTTAAGTGAATGACCAAATAATTTGAGAAATTGAAGAGGTGCATAGTTAATGCGAAGTTGTGGATCATTGGCTTTATAAATAATGATATAATTATGAGTTATAAAAAAATTGAGAGTGTAAAAGAGGAAATCGAAAGTTTTGACATGAGAGAATTGCGGATCGAATTCATCATGTTGTTGTCCTAGAGTAGTAAGCCAAGGTGATACATGACCTTCTTAAGTGGTCTGTGGACAATCAAATTCCTCATGTTGTTGTCCTGGATTAGGAAGCCAGAGGATTCAAAAATAAGGGAAAATTTCCATCACGACAAAATTGAGTGAGAGATAGACAGAGAGAATATTCTTTTTTTAACTGAGAGAACTTGAAAGACAAAGTCAATAAGCTAGTATAGGTATGAATGAGAGAGAGAGAGAGAGCATATATTCTTTTTTTAACAGAGAGAACATGAAAGACAAAGTCAATAAGCTAGTAGAGGTATGAATGAGACGAGACGTAGACTTACTCCGCTACCAATAAAGGTCTACTTGACATCATAGTCTTCAAAATGAACAAAAAGTTTTTAGCTTTGCACAACATATAGTACGGATATCAATTTTAATCTAGTGAGTGGCCAGAATTGGAAGCTATATGAAGGCTAATCCAGATCTAGGTTGCTGTTGGTTCTCTGCAAAGGTGACAACAAACCAATAGAATGATATGTAAACAACAAATTATGTGTATCTCACTATTTGAACATTTGGACTAAGCTACGGCTGGAGCCTTGACCTCCACCGTGACCCTGGCCATGGAATTGGCAACCACGGCCATATACTTCGATTTGAGCGTTGCTATTGTTCAACTATGAAATGACCCACTTGATAGTTTTTCATGATAATAATATTAGTAGATGGAATAAGTTGATCTGTAGAAGGAGTGTGCTTCTTACGTCATCACTTGTACTTGAGAAGTAAGCTATATATGTGTGATTGGAATAATGAGCAAGAGATCTTGTTTAGATGGAAGACCTGAATGGATCATAAACTAGGTGCAAGTTATCGTGGTTAGGATGATTCATTATTGTTTGAGTGTCGGTGAGACTCTTATTTCTCTTGGGATTGTCGAAAATAGAGAGCCTATTTTTATATCTGTTAATTAAGCTCTAGTTTGTGGAACCTTGTGCTAGAAATGGGTGCAAAGAGCCATTTTCAAAAGAAGTACAACGTGATTAAGGGGGTGAATGTTGAGTTAATCACGTTAAAATTGTTTTTGATTATTCAAGATTAGCTAAGGTAGTTATCTTAAATTTCTGAATTAGGTGTTAGTGGAACGAGTCATGTGAGGTAGTGGCCTGTTTTTTCGGGTCACAACAAAGTCACAAATTAGTTATAAGTTGTAGTTAGTGTTTGTTGTTAAGTTAACTCTCCCATCAACGAAAAAAAGTTAGTTTTCCAGTTCTTTATCTCCTATCTCTCGATTGTGTGTGTGTATCCGTCGTGTCAGTTTTGATGCGATCCAACATTTGGTATCAGAGCCTGGTTGGGATTGGATACCAAAGATTATGCCGGCAGATACAACACCATCGAGCAGCAGAACTGGCAACATAGTGACGTTGAAGACAACCGGAAGAGAAGGGACAGTCTCTCTTCATTACCCGCTGCTCACGAAGAGCAACTACTCCGCATGGGCGCTCAAGATGAAGGTGTATATACGTGCACAAGGCGTATGGGACGCCATTGAGCCCACTGACCCCAATGATGAGGTAGAGACGCGGAAAGATCAGATGGCTCTTGCTGCCATCTATCAAGCCATCAGTGAGGAAACACTTCTCGTGTTGGCTGAGAAGGAGACGACCAAGGAGGCATGGGAGATGTTGAAGACAATGCACATGGGCGCTGAGCGCGTCAAGGAGGCAAAAATTCAGACTTTGAGAAGTGAGTTTGAGGGTCTTCGCATGCGTGAAGCGGAGATAGTGGATGATTTTACTGCAAAGCTGACCACAATTGTCAACAAGATTCGTGCATTGGGCAACAAAGTAGATGAGGCCTATGTCGTAAAGAAACTCCTTCGTGTTGTGATTGCATCCACAATTGAGCAATTTGGTAATCTCAAGTCGATGACAGTGGAGGAGGTCATCGGATCGCTTAAGACCCATGAAGAACGATTGTGGGGTTTCGGTGAAAATGAAGAAGAGCACGTCCTGTAGCGAAGTGGAAAGGGAAAGAAGCAAACGGAGATAGAGAAAGCTCCTCAGGTTCATCTAAAGGACGAAGAGCTGGTGCCAGTTGTGATCGCGGACGAGGGTGTGGCCGCAACTATGGTCGTGGTCATAATCGAGGTGGTCGAGGAAATGATTCAAATTATCGTGAGAGGAGATTTGACAAGACTAAGGTGAAATGCTACAATTGTCAAAATTTTGGACATTTTGCCTCGGAATGTCGAACTAAAGAGAAGGGTGAGAAAGTTCACTTTGTGGAGGCACAAGAGGATGATGATAAACCAGCTCTCTTGGCGATGGAAGTTTGTGAGTGTGAGAATGATAGGTAGCTGACAACAGAGGAAGTGATGCTCTATGAGGAGAAAGTGAAGCCAAAGTTGAACGAAGGAGAACAGGTGGTGTATGAGAACACTGGTTGGTTTCTCGACACTGGAGCAAGCAACCACATGACGGGCTGCAAGGAGTGGTTCTCAGAACTGGATGAAACTGTAACTGGCAAAGTCAAGTTTGGCGATGGTTTGGTTGTGAACATTTGAGGAAAAGGCACTGTAATGTTTCAGTGTCAAAATGGTGAGCATCGACTCTTTACAAGTGTTTATTTCATACCTAGACTGCGTAGCAATATAGTAAGTCTAGGCCAATTGGATGAGAATGGATGCAAAACTGTAATAGAAGGTGGATGTCTGCTGGTGTATGATAGAGCTAGAAAGCTGCAGGCGAGAGTAAGAAGATCAAGGAATAGATTGTATATCCTAAATTTGAAAACAACTCACTCTGTGTGTTTAATGGGGAAGTTAACTGAAGTTGAATGGCTGTGGCATGCCCGTTATGACCATTTAAACTTCCAGGCATTGAGGAACATGACGAAGAAGGGAATGGTGACAGGAATGCCTGTCATTGATCATGTAATGCAAGTGTGTGATGGGTGTGTGGTGGGAAAACAACATTGCACACTATTTCCCCATAACTCAAGCTTTCGGGCTAATAGACCGCTTCAACTTGTGCATTGTGACCTGTGCGATCCAATTTCTCTGACGACTCTAGGAGGCAATAAGTATTTCATGCTGATTGTAGATGACTTCAGCAGATACATGTGGGTCAAGATTTTAAGAAGCAAGGATGAAGCATTAGCTGCTTTCAAGAAGATAAAGGCAGGAGCAGAAATGGAATCAAATTCAAAGCTCCAAGCCCTGTGGACAGATAGGGGTGGTGAGTTTACAAACATTGCATTCAATGAATATTGTGAGCAGCTGGGCATCAAAAGATACCTCACAGCACCATATTCCCCTCAGAAAAATGGTGTCATCGAACGGAGGAATCAAACTGTTGTGGGTATGGCTCGAAGCCTACTGAAAAGTAAACACGTTCCATCTAAATTCTGAAATGAAGCAGTGAAGACAACAGTGTATATACTCAATAGAGCTCCAACAAAGAGTGTCGAAGGCGTAACACCTTACGAGAAATGGACTGGCCATAAACCTAAGGTACATCACATGAGAGTGTTTGGTAGTTTGGTGCACGTGAAAATCACAAAACCACACACAAAGAAGTTAGATGACAGGAGTATGCCAATGGTGTTTCTGGGGTATGAGCCAGGGTCAAAAGCCTACAGAGTCTATGATCCTAACTCAAAGAAGTTGAGAGTAAGCAGGGACACAATATTTGAAGAGGATAAGGAGTGGAATTGGGAGAATATACAAGGAGGAGAAGACTCTGGAGTTTATTCCCGTGATGTGTTCACCGTGCATTATGAATCTGAGAAGGGTGAAGGCGCACAAAATTTGGATGAGCAAGCAATCGAGCAATTTTCTGGGGGTGCGACTGCGCCTCACACTCCCTCGAAACATAATCATGCATAAGATATTGGAGAACAATCAACAAGCTCGGAGAGGCCTCGTAAATATCATTCTCTACAAGACGTGTACAATGACACAGTTGAGATGGACGAGGAAGCAGGGCTATGCTTCTTGTCTATAGAAGAACCTGCAACTTTTGAAGAAGCACCGTGCTATTGGCTTGAAATGGGTGTATAAGGTGAAGAAAAATCCTGGAGGAGAGATAGTAAAACATAAATCTCGACTCGTGGCAAAGGGGTATGTACAAAAACTAAGAGTGGATTTTAATGAAGTGTTTACTCCGGTTCCACGATTAGAAACTATAAGGCTCTTAATTGCTTTGGCAGCACAGGAGAACTGGGAAATATATCACATGGATATAAAATCTGCATTTCTGAACGGAGAGCTAGAGGAAGAGGTGTATGTAGCACAACCAGTAGGATTCGAAGCCAAAGGCCATGAGGGACAAGTGTTAGCTAGAGGAAGAGGTGTATGTAGCACAACCAGTAGGATTCGAAGCCAAAGGCCATGAGGGACAAGTGTTGAGGCTGAAGAAGGCATTATATAGCACAACCAGTAGGATTCGAAGCCAAAGGCCATGAGGGACAAGTGTTGAGGCTGAAGAAGGCATTATATAGACTGCGTCAAGCACCTCGAGCATGGAATTCGAAGCTTGATAAGTACTTACAGTCACTGGGGTTCATCAAGTGTCCTATGGAGCATGCTGTGTATAAGAAATAACTGGGGGGTGAAATCCAAGTGATTGGTGTTTATGTAGATGATCTTATTATCACTGGGTCAAGTATCGAACACATTGCAAAGTTCAAAGAACAGATGAAGAGGCTGTTTGATATGAGTGATCTTGGATTATTAAGCTACTACCTGGGCATTAAAGTGAAGCAAGATTCACATTCCATCACATTGTCTCAGTCAGTATACGCCCTAAAGAAACTTGAGAATATTGGGATGGCCGAATGCAATTCTTGTCAAATCCCCATGGAGTCGAGACTTAAAATGAGTAAAGTAAACGTCAGTCCCCCAGTTGATGCATTTCTGTATAGAAGTGTCATATGGAGTCTGAGATACCTAGTTAACACAAGACCTGATTTAGCCTACTTAGTTGGAGTGATGAGTCGATACATGGAAGCGCCTACAACGATTCACATGTCTGCTGTGAAGCAAATACTATGTGCGTGGCACTCTAAACTTTGGGTGTTGTTATGACAGGAAGAAGCATTTGGGGGAATACTTGAATGGGTACAGCGACAATGACTTGGCTGGCGACATCGATGATCGAAAAAGCACAACGAGGGTTATCTACTTCCTTGGTGGAAATCCTGTGATTTTGCTATCACAGAAGTAGAGAGTAGTGGCACTCTCCTCATGTGAAGTTGAGTACATGGCCGCAACAGCAGCGGCATGCCAGGGAGTTTGGCTTGGGTGTTTGTTGAGTGAGTTAAAGGGCAACGAACCTGTCAAAGCTATCATCAATGTAGATAACAAGTCAGCCATTACTCTCACGAAGAATCATGTGCATCACAACAGAAGTAAACACATTGATACTAAGTATCATTTCATTCGTGACTGTGTTCAGAAGGAAGAAATTGGTGTGGAATATGTTAGAATAGAAGATCAACTGGCCGACATCCTAACAAAGCCACTTGGTCGACAAAGATTTGTTAAGTTGCGAGAGAAGATCAGTTTGAAGGATGTGAAGGAAGTACAACGTGATTAAGGGGGTGAATGTTGAGTTAATCACGTTAAAATTTTTTTTGATTATTCAAGATTAGCTTAGATAGTTACCTTAAATTTCTGAATTAGGTGTTAGTGGAACGAGTCATGTGAGGTAGTGGCCTGTTTTTTCGGATCACAACAAAGTCACAAATTAGTTATAAGTTGTAGTTAGTGTTTGTTGTTAAGTTAACTCTCCCATCAATGAAAAAAGTTAGTTTTCCAGTTCTTTATCTCCTATCTATCGATTGTGTGTGTGTGTGTATCCGTCGTGTCAGTTTTGATTCGATCCAACAATCAACCCAATTATGGCAGGTATTTTAGGTGGAGCTTAATGAGGTCGATGATATTGGTGGAAGTTGCAAGGTACTCCAATCAACAATGGAAGAGATATCAACTTATTATCTAATAAGTAGGAAACCAAATGATAGAAGAAATTGAACTCACAATCATTATTGAGTTTCAACGAAATCATTTAAAGAGATGTTTAAATAGAAGAGTGTGAACAAGAGATAAAGTAGCAAAGATCATGATACAAAATAAGAATACATCAATGATGAAAGAGAAAGAATACATCAACGAAAGGAAGGGAGAAAATGATAGCTAGTCATAAGTGGCTCTGATATCATATGAGATGAAATGATTTGGTTTTAAATGCACATCTTAGCATGTTGTTGATGTATTATATGCTAGTGAGGACTGAGGAGGGCACGTGCATGGCACGTTCTTGCTCTCTTTAGTTGCTGCCTATAATTGAGCCTAATTATTGCTTAAATATCTTATAGTTTTCCTTATTTTGCACTTATATATCCTCATTTGTTTTTGGTTGCAGTTAAATACCATGAAGTTTCTAAAAGCTACACACCTTTTGTTTTGCAGACATGAGAATTTTGCCCTGAATCTTTTCATGTGACACTCACAAGGAAATTTTAGAAGTTTTAATCCCTAAAACTTGTTAAATTTACTGCTAAATCCACTAGAATTCTATTTTAAAATATAATTAGGTTAAGTTAAAAATAGACTTGAGGTATGTTTAATAGTAAATTCAGGAAACACTAAGAGCTAAAGGATTTAAAGCCAGTTTGTGAGTGTTAGAAGTGAAAATTCCAAGCAAAATTCTCATGTTTTCACAAAATTACGTATTAAAGTGCACTTTTAGAAACTTTAGAGTATATATATCTGCTAGCGTGTTACCAAAATAAGTGAGGGTATATAAGTGCAAGGTAGGGAAACTATAATGTATGTAAGTGCTAATTGGCCTAAAATTAAAGTAGTGCATATGATAAGAGAATAGGCATGAAGGATATATATAGAGAATATGTATACAACCTTTGCTGTATGTGCTGCTTTTTCATTAAGTTTCAAAACAATAGTTTTGGTGTAGCCAGCCTTTTACATTAGGATTATATATACATGTGCTGTTATATAAATCAAAAGAGCTTAAAGCAATAAAAGAGTTTCAAAGCAATAGTTATGAATATTATGTACATTAAAAGATTTGTGGTGAGCTAGTTTAGTAGCTTGTGTTGAGATGTAACTATAGAAAGGGCTCTATTGGTTTGTTATCTTCTGTTTAGTTTTTTTCTTAAGTTCTTCCATAACTTTGACCATCATATATTATTGAATTTTTTCATCTTAGACTTGAGAAAAGTCATTCTTAAGCTGAATGTAATACTCCTTGCTTGAGCATTCCCCTAAAACAGCAACGTCAAGAATTCCTTAACATCAAGAATTCCTTCTTACTTTAGGACTAGGATTACTTC